AAAAAAAAAAAAAAAAAAAAAAAAAAAGAAAAAAGAAAACACGTTTGAATATGCGTGATTTCTAGCTTCAACGATTTCCAGGTTTGTTTCTCAATAGAGGGATCACGTGCAGGGAAACCCGAAGAACGTTCCGAGGGATCACAGGATGAAGCAAGGCGTGTGGCCAATTATTTGCGTATATCAAAGACAACGACACAAAGAACGGGAAATTCGACGTGTATATTACAAATTCGGTGAACGATCGACAACGATCAAAAACGGATCCAAGATGGTTCGCGTGCTCATCCTCGTTGATCGTGGTCCTCGCTTCTATGTTCGCCAGCCGGTAAAATCGTCGTTGGAACGTCAACGTTTTCGCCCAGTCCAGCATGTCCTAGAGTATCTGGAAGAGCTTTTTCAGTTCGACCATCAATTGCCAGTCTGTCTTCACCAGATCGTCCCTGAAGTATTCCTTGCAAGCGTCTATGCTCTGTCTGCTTATCTGTAACAGAGACGAAGGGGGACCCTTTGCTAGAGAAGGTGTGTCGGGTTTGAACCGAATTAATTTTCGAGATAACAACGACGACGACAGTGTAAAAAAGATAGAGGAAGATGCAAATATATATTCGCGCAACATCGTGTATCTTTTCACATTTCTCGAATTTGTTCTTAAAATATATTAATAATTAGTTGTTTGATTAACTTGCATTTTCTCGAAAAACAGTACTGAACTTATCTATCGCGAGTTGATATATTCTCGACAGTATTTTATTTATTATGAATATATTATTTACTTATGAATTCTAGTAGTATTTATATAGTAGTAGTAGTAGTAATATATTTATTTTTATTATTTTAGTAGTATAGTATTTTTAGATATTTTAGGTATTTTAGTTATAGTATCTTTATAGTACTATATTTAATTTTATTATTTAGTAGTATAATATTTTTATTATTTTAGCCCAGTAGTAGTATATTTATTAGTATATTATTTATTTATAAATTCTAGTAATATTTATATAGTAGTAGTAGTATATTTATTTTTATTATTTTAGTAGCATAATATTTTTAGGTATTTTAGTTATAGTATCTTTATAGTAGTATATTTAATTTTATTATTTAATAGTGTAGTATTTTTATTATTTTAGCCCAGTAGTAGTATATTTATTAGTATATTATTTATTAATGAATTCTAGTAGTATTTATATAATAGTAGTAATATATTTATTTTTATTATTTTAGTCCAGTAGTAGTATATTATTTATTTATGAATCACATTACTGGAAATTTGAGTGCATAATATCAAGTGATATATACAAATATATTTTATAAGGAAATGTCTGTTCTAATGTGAAACAAGCGCGATAAAACTGTACCGAAACTTCTGGCTAGTGCTATACATAATCCTAAGTTGGACGAATCGAGATAAATTTTACAAAAAAAAAATATATATATATATACAATATCGTCACTATAAGTATTACTCCACTTTTCGATAACCTCGAATGAACTCGAAATCCGCGACTGACTTCCAAAGTCGCCGCAAAAAAAAAAAAAAAAAAGAAAAAAAAAAAAAAAAAAAAAAAAAAGGAAAAGAAAAAAAAAGAAAAAAAAAAGACGATTCGAAAGTTTCCACCACTTTCGACAAATACAACGTGAACCATCGAAGGTGGTTACTCCTCGTTACAGTAAACTCTTGGAATCGTTGGTCGTGCAGGTTGGTTGCAAAAACCGTTCTAAATGGCGCTGCTCGTCTAGGAATAATTTCCTTGAATCGGTTTTCGCGAGGACAGGCGTATGCTCGCGCACACAGTCCATTCACTAACGTAACGCTTTACAACTGTTTCCGCCCCCACTCCCGGCCGGAAGTCCCGTTTCATTCATGGATCGGTCACAATGGTGGTTTTACGCGGCTATTGAGGACGCCTGCCTCCCGCCACGCCCCTGCTACTTCTCCCTCTACGTCTCATTCTCACTCCCTCCCACCCCTTTCATTCCCTTGCCGTTCCTTTTCCTTTTCTCTCTCGCTCGCTCTCACGCTCTCTCTCGGTTTTCTCCCTTTCCCCCCCCTGGCCGCAAACACGCGCACACGCACCGCAGCTCTCGTCCACCGTAGAATTCTTTGCCTCTCTTTCTCTGTCCCGTTTCCGTTTCGTACTTTCGTCTTTGTCTCCTCGCCGACTCGTTCCCGCCGCCCTTTGTCGCTAACCGTGCAACGTTGCACGAACAGCAAAGGGTCCGTCTTTTTCTCTCCACCCGTGAAACCTTTCCGCGCACGTTTTCCTATACAGCCAGACCCGGTTCTCGATATCTCTCGAGAAGTGTAACCCACTCGTGGTCTCGTACTCGATCGGTAACTTGGTTCGCATTTGACCACGCTGCGTTGGCAACTGATTGCGGACCATAACGAGTGCACCATAACCGTATGCAACAATTTGGATAGAAATTATTGGGAAGTAATAAACTTACTGTTTGTTTTGCCCGGGTTATGTACATGAATATACTTGAAACAGGAAAATATTGCAATTTTTAGAGAAAAAATTCTCGATTGGCACCGTCATTCCAGCGCAAGAGGTCTAAGTTTCGCCTAAACTCTATACACAAGGCCCTATACAATCGCGATTGCGCGTCATTTGCAAAATGGTGATTAGCAACCGGTGACGAACTTTCGCGGTTGTTATTTTAATTCGTATAGCGTAGAAATTTTTAGAACCTCTTTGTAGTAATATAATAAAGTGGTATAATGTAAAGTAATATATTATAGTAATATAACAAAGTAATATAAAATATAGTAGTATAATAAAGTAATACAATAATAATCGAGTTAATTAAATTAAATTATTGTAGACGATTCGGTCACTCGTTACGGTCCGCAATCAGTTGCCAGCGCGAGTGGTTAATCGAATTCGACTTTTCGATCCCCCCCCCCCCCCCCCCCGAGTACTCCACGATGATGATTTTACTGCACGTACACGAGCTTGGATGGTTTAGGTTTGAGCTTCCCGCCAGGCGGAAGTCAGAGCGTATAATTTGAGAGGTTAAGGAGGCGAGCCAGCGAAGGAGAGGGGAGGAAAGCGAGAATTCCGGCGTTGCTAAGGAACGAAAAGGAGCAAAATCGTCGCTTGACAAATCATCGTGGGAACAAGGTGATTCCGGGGAATCGATTCTACGAAGCAAACGGTAACGACGACTTCCGCTCGCCTTGGGAGCCACACAAAGATGCCGAAGCCAGACCGGGCTGTGCACATACAAGTGCTCGCACCGGCTGTTGAGTGAGCGCGTGCACAACCGGAAAACGCGGATAGAGGTAGAGGAAACGGAGTTGACGCTATTGAACACGGAATTCCGTACCGTGTTTCGGCCTCCTGCCGGCGAAACGAATTTCCAAGTTTCATCACGTGATATAACACAAATTTCTAAATTTCACGCGCGTAGAATGGAAACCGTGGATGTTTGTGCATTCGTTGAAGATTTGTATAAATAAATACAAGGCGCATATACTATATTATAATATTATAATGTATAGTATTAGTATTGTAATATTAGTAATTTAACAAGAGATGTAAAAGTATGCGAAATAAATGACTCACGGTGTCTAGCAGATGAAACAAATTTTTATACAGGTATTGACTTCATTCACTTAGACTTCAGTCTAAATATTGGAGAAAGGAATTCAGATTTTGCACATATTGCGTATAATTCAAGTGTTCGATGAATTCATGTTTTCGCGAGTGTAATTGAAAACCTATAAATGCAGGTGAATAAATATTAAACGATTGAAACATTGTAACTTAGACACTTATAATTGTTCGCGCGTAAATTTTCTACAAATGCATGAGAATGGAAAATCTAAATTTTCACTTTGAAAATCTGAAAGCACGCGCGCGATTAATACTGAACGAAAAAGAAGGAATACCTAGCAGGATTAATACTCGAAGAAAAGGAGGACTCGTCTCATTTCATAGTGCGAACAATTATCGTGTCTATTTGTATATATGTAGTTTAATTAACGGTTGACGAGCATAGCTTCCGAGCGAGTCGTACGATCGATTAATTCGAATTTATGGGAACGAAACACGCGTACCGCGTACGCGATGCCATTAAGGTACTAGGGGCCGATCGATTTGCAGTCGATATCCAAAGCGGAAGACGGAAAAGAAAGAGGCGAGGCGGCGTGGAGGGAAGGTGGGGAGCGAGGCGGAATGGAAGTTCTGCGAAGGCCGGAAGTCGATGGGTGGACGCCTGATCGCAGCCGGATGTGCATCTTCCTTTTTCGACCAAAGTCTTGCATACTAATAAGGATCGTTTCCGTCTCGCTCGCCTCTGATTTCGATGAAATTGCAAAGCTATGCGAATCGGCTCGGTCGACGGTTGGGGAAAAAAAAAAAAAAAAAAAAAAGAAGAGGGGAAAAAAAAGAAGAAGAAAAGGGAAAAAAGAAGCGAAAACGTATACTCGGTCTCTCTCTTTCTCGCAGCGGAATTTCATCAACGGCCGGGACCACCTGTCGATCGAATTCTTTCGAAGCAGCTGCTTCTCGAAACGCTGAAACGTTTCACCTTGGTAATCGTTCCTTCTTTCCTTCGTAACCACGCCACCGTAAACCTCACCGTGCGCCTGTGTGCCACAGTTTAACCCTTCGCACTCCATAAGCGCCGCTACGGGTGTGCTCGCTGAAATACCGCTCAAAAGTATATGGGCACTTACGCGTCTGTGGAACATATTTTCAATGACGCTTGGCATGCAAACTATTTCCTTAATCGCGTACTCGGGAACTGTGAACTTGCATAAAAATCGGCAGCTTGATAATGTATGTATATATATTTTATGTTTTATATTTTAAATAAATTTTATATTTTATATATGTATATATATTATTTTTATAAGATCTGTCGTATAATTTATTTTGGTACTAGCACATGTGTATATTTTTAAAAGAATTTATCAACAAACATCGTACTCTAATGAGTATATATATACACTATATACTATATACATATATATATATCTTTTTATTTTTTATAAGATCTATCGTATAATTTATTTTGGTACTAGCATATGTGTATATTTTTAAAAAAATTTATCAACAAACATCGTTCTCTAATGAGTGTGTATATATATATATATATATATAAACATACACACTATATACTATATATATATAATATACTATATATATATCTTTTTATTTTTATAAGATCTGTCGTATAATTTATTTTGGTATTAGCACATGTGTATACTACTAAAAAAATTTATCAACACATCCGTTCTCCGATGAGTATATATATATATATATATATATATATATATATATATATATATATATATATACACACACAAAAGATCTTATAAAAATAAAAAAAATTGCTTCTCCCAACGTTTCAAAAAATAGTTGTCGATCGAATTAATTAAGATGTGTTTAGACCATTGATAAATTCGACACGAAGGGTTAATGTTCGCAAGAAACGCCTTGGAGAGCTGCTGGTAGATCGTACAACAAAATTAACCGGAGTGCAAGGGGTTAAACGCACGTTCGCCTTATTATTTCAGGGGCAATCGAATTCACTAAACGAGCTATTCACTTTTATAGAGAGAAATCGGAACGTGAAATTACCCGCCCGTTTTTTTCCCCCGCGATAACGATTACTGATAACGAACAGGCACGGAACGCTGCGGCTTTTTTTTTTTGTCGAACTGTACTTACATGTACTGTTGGTGTATTATACGGTCCAAAATGATATTAAAGTAGGGCACGGAACGACCAACAAAAGTGTGATAAGCATCGTTACAAGCATCGATGATGACTACGGTGAAATAACGTTTCCTGAATTGAGCAATTGCCCATATATAATGTTCACGACAATGTCTTGTAAATCGTTGCTCAACTCGTTCGCGTGGACGAATTATAAAGCTGAAGCTACCTACCTTGCTCACGACGAAGTCCTTCTCGTCGAAATGACGGCCGAACATTTTCGGCGCCTCGCCCGGTATCGGCTCGATTTTCACACAGACTTCTTGACCCTTTCTCGCGGACTCCACGGGCTTGTGATTATATTCTATACTCGTCACCACGCCCAACTCCACAAACTGCAAAGTGAAACGGAAATATCTTTCATCAATAACATTTCTTAATGGATTTTACGATGATTTTTAGAGTGGCTACAAGAAATAATCTTTATTTCGTAACGAAGCGTTCCTTTTTTTGTCAGACTATACACTTCACTTTTATAATTATACAAACGTAAGGTAACGAAATTGCAAGGTATTTGCTAAACGACACGAAATCTAATTGACGTTATAATAAATAAAATGAAGAGCAGAATATATTTTGTTAAACATGTGCGTCATTCATTTGCCAATTTCCTACGTGAATAATCCTTGATATTTTTCTTTTATAGCGAAGTGTTTTTAATTAGGTTCTACATCTTATTTTTCGTAGAATGTGAACTGAAGTATTAGTAAAAAATATTAAATTTGACATTGATAGTATCTATCTATGTAAATCAAAGATAAATATAAAACATATTCTGTTTACGCTCGAATCTAATCAACGTATAAATATCATAACAACTAAAACACATCTCGTGGCTACTTTATACCCACTCAAAAAAACGCGTTGCACGTCGCCTGATTATTTTCTAATTTCCAACGTCCTAAGTGAAAAAAAAAACATCCAACATCCCTGGAATTCGTCCGAGACGCTTCTCGAATCGATCGAATAATCGATTCGTAGCGACAAGCATGAACACGAGCATAAAAAGAATCTCCAGAAAAAAGAAGAGGAAGAAAAAAACGGAGAATTTTTCACGCAGGCTGTTTCGCAGCTTGTCACCGTGCCTTTTATCCATCCACGATCGGCGTGTGTCTCTTTTGCGTGGGTATAGCTCCGCCTATGCATTCCTTTCTGCGACCGGAAGTCGGGAGAGAAAACCGAGTACCTGAGCATTGCGCGTCGTCGAGGGCCGACTCGGACGTAGGTACGGTTTTCGCCGTGAATACCGGCGAAGGATCGGTGAACCGAGTAGGCAGATACGCGGACACGTAGGCTGCTGGATATCCTGTGGGCCGTCGTACACGCGGTGATCCTCCGGTTTTTTCACGAAATTTTTACTTCAACTCGGCCCGTTTGCGAAACTACAACACGCTCGTGCGACCTGGCTCAGCCAGACGTGCGCCTCTGAATCTCGTTTGGACGAACGTTCTTTCGAGGAAGAACGAGAGGGAAGAACGAATTTGAACAAGTGGCAGGCGCGTCAGCGGTGTATTCAAGAGCACCCTATAGAGCAGCGTATGGTGGCAAGAAAGCTCGAGCACGTCGTTCAGAATCGCGTTATTGCCGTAACACACCTGCAGCTGCAAGAGCGCCAAGTGGGCGATAAACCCGGACGCAACTTCGCTTGGGGACACGCACAGATTACCGCTTATCCTTCTTCAAAGAATTGCCTATAATTACGGCTAATTAACCGTTGCCTTCTCCGACCACTCGCCAATCTATTCAAACGTTCCCTCGACGAGACCCCGTGCGTATAATAATCTAACTGTCGGTACACCCATTTGAACAATGTTGGAAACATCGTTTACGATAGCCTTTATCGAAGAATCTGTCGCAAGGCACAGTTATTTCACACCGCGTCAACAATGAGAAACGAAGAGGAGACACTCGCGGCAAGTGGTTCGCGAAATTGTTTCAGAAATAACTGAAAGCGAGTGATTCCTATTTTATATCTCCTTTGACGTTTTTCAACACGTTCGTTATCGTTCAATTACGCTTGGAGTTATTCAACGCTCGTACGTTGCATAATAAACGCGATAAGTATTAGCGGTAGACGGAGTATAGCTGTTATATAATTCTCAATGTCTACTCAACGCCTTAACACGTAACTGTAACGCGACAATTGATTAACTTCAAGTTGATGTAGAATAATAATTAATTGTTTAATCAATCGACGACCTCTCCGTGCTCTGAATGTACGGCATCCTGGTCCGTGCGAGTTTAAATTAGAAATAAAGAAGTATCAATCGATGGACAATGACCAGTCGGATATGATGGACCGTGATCGGTCGTGTATTTCGAAACCTACGCCGAAAGAGCAATATGCCCACACACACGAGCTCGAGTCGAATCACGAGACTCGTTCTTTGTCCCTTTTGGTCCCCTCTCTCTTTCTCTCCCATATTCATCCCGTTTCTCCGTTCACGGTTACTTTTATGGTGTTGCGCGATCGTCCGATTTTCGACACTCTCCGTGCCCTATCGTACGCATTACCATATACACATAATTGCAAGCGTGTATCCCGAGAAAGTACGCGCCCGTGTTCCGTGTGCTCGCCCGTCCCTCTGTCGCTTTCCTTTTTTTTTCTTCATCTTTTCTTACATCTCCTGCTCTTTCTTCGTGTACCAAAGGATTCGTGCAGTTATCATTCTTAAGGCGTCAGGACAGTGCGAACTTTTCAAAAAATCGATTTTTTTTGTTGTTGTTTTTGTTTTAAATAATAGTTTGAAGTGTTAGAAATAAGATAGGAAAAGTCCGAGCCTTTAAAACGACTTATTTTGGGGTGTAATAATAAATCCACGGATACAGAACGATTGAATTTGTATCGCTGTTTGCAACTTTAAGCAGTATTATACAGCGTAAATCGTGCGATTCAAATATTACTTTTGGTGAATCGAATATTAGGGGACTTGGGTTCAATTTAGTTGTGTGAATTGTAAGAACTGTGAGCCACGATATATAAATAAAAAAAAGTAAGTAAAGGATACATATGAAAAATGACGTTCCGAAACTTTAAACGCGTTTTTCTCGAAACTAGGTTTTTAGAAACGGTGTGCAAGATATCACGGAATCTAACCAACCGATTACCGTGAAACTTGGTACGTATCATTAGTGTAACATATACTAGAGATTGGCGATCTAAGATTTTTTAATTTTTATCAATTTCGAAAGATATAAACAAGAAACGTAGAAATTTTTGGCATAAATTCGGTACATCAAAAACAAATAGCTGCTATTTTATTTAAAGTTATTTTTTAGAGCGTAGACGTCTGCCTTTATAGCTGATAATGCTATTTGTTGAATCATTTATTTTATTTTGTTGAATCAGCTCAATTCTAACAAAGTAAAATTTATTAGAATATAATAATAATAATTCGAATTTAAAATATAATTTTAATGTTAATAATTTAAATTTAGTAAATTTTCATATAATAATTTAAATTTACTTTACGTTTGTCAGAGAATCTTAATCAACTTTCGGCATTTATTAATCTCGAAATTTTTCTTCGTTTTTATAGATAAAATGATTGAAATCATTTCGCAATTGGAACGTGACTAGCACCAAAATAGATATGATAAAAGATATATTTTTGTCCAAATAGATTCACGAAAATGAACGATTGAAACGTACAGAAATATTAAATTTATTTCACCTCGCAGAATGTAATCTGGAGATATTCATAACCGTCGTGCAACATTATTATACATAATCTGTAACTCTGACGAACGAATCGTAATTTACAAGAAAATTCGATAAAAGACACTGGATCTGAACTGAAAGTCAGTGTTGTTAGTACTCGTGTCGCCGACAGCGTACTAGGCGCGTTCGAGCGCTTTGTTTTTCACGATGGAAGAGCGGCGTGTTAATTCGCGCGACACCATCGTGATCTCCGTTCTCCGTTAGCAATGCGACTGGAAGAACTAAACAGGTTTGGCCAATTGTTTTTTCGAGTTCGACTGGGAAAATTGTCGAGCGTCTTGTTTCGAGTAGAAGGAAGGAGGAAGAGGAGGAAGAAGAGGAGGTGGAATAAGATGGGAACGCGTTTGGCGAGGATTCGCGACACGACGTCTTGCTTCGGTCGTTTTCGCGTGGGTTACACACCATGGATTCTTTTTCCTCTCGAAGCGCGTCTCAGGCCTCGTGGGGCACGTGGGAAGCAAGCGACGGGAAAACAAGAATTTCATTTAAAAGAAATTTATTTTCTTCTTACTTCGAACTGGAATTTAATTTAGTATGTTAACAGCGTCATATTTTGAAAGCAATCCGTTTCATCCGTTTGCTCAGCGTCCCACGTTCGTTCTCTTTCGCTCTCCCGTGTGTAGGATACGTATAACAGCGATCTGGTAGTAATAGACTAAAAAATAAGTCGAAAAGAACGAACGACACTTCAAACATTCGTTTAAATGAAATTCATCAAATTCGATAATTTATAATAAAGGTGAACGAACGATAGGAGTGTCATTCCATCTACGAAGATAAGTTAAGAAGAACACAATTTTTTCATAATACCGTTTCAATCAAATTTGAAAATTTATCAAATACGAAACATACTACAGATACATTGCAAAGCATATCACGACGAGATTTGAGCGTCAACGCATGCATCGCGAAATTTTATTGTTACTCTTCGACTTTCGTTTTTTTTTTTTTTTTTTTTTTTTTCATATAAAATCACTCGTAGTTTCGTCGCCTCGTTATCTCTGTGCCACACACGATAGTGTATCGTCCAGCGATACGCGGACATCAGATACTTCGTACCGGTAACAAACTGCGCCACTAATTAATACCGACGTTTGTCGCCCGATCTATCCGGTAATTAACGTCACTCTACTCTTCCCGCCCGGAAACAACCACTCGTGGCCGACTTCGAAATATTTGCTTGCCGTACTAATTAGCCTCTCTTACGACACCGAAGAAATTACCGTGAGAGAATACTTGTATACAGTAATAAAGCAGAACGCTCGTTACGATATTTATTAATGGAAAGGGACTTCCACTCGAGCTCCGTTTTTCTTCAATTGTACTCAAAAAGAAAAAGAAAAAGAAAAGAAAAAATATGAGATCGCACGAACGTCGATATGTCGGCTCTTGGCTACAGGGAACGTCAATTATGTCCGATCGCTTTTAACCACTTGCGCTGGCAACTGATTGCGGACCATAACGAGTGACCGAACCGTATAAAATAATTCGTCGCTTTCTTTTCGAACTCGTCGGTATGTCACTGGATAGAAATTATCGAGAAGTGATAAA